GTTTCAAAAAAATCAAATTTTATAATCATATACTTTTTTCCATCAAATAATCAGTTGACATAAAGACATCGCTTTGTTTATGGAGTATTTCATGTGATAAAAACTTCTAGGTATAGCACACATGGCAGCATTCAATGGAAAATGGAAGGATATTGAATGACCAACGTCGCTCCATTTTGCCACTTCTCATCCATCAGATCGAGTTAATCCATTTATTTGTATTCAAAGTTAATCGTATATTATATGGTGGTATATGCATTGTTTTGATACATTGATGTTTCTTAATGCATTTCTAAAAAAATACACAAACTTATCCACAAATCTTATCACATCAAACCAACGGGACTCTTATAACTCCGTAAAAACAAAATATTTTGGAGACAAGCAAATCATTCCAAACTCAAATTGAAATTTTGCTAAATCACATATAGTGAATAACTATACACTTCACAATAAACATCATGATACTTAAAATTAAACTAGCCGCAACATTAATTATAGATATATTAAACGATATAATTATAGCTAACAACAAGCTAATCCTCCTCATCAGAGGAGATGTTGTGGACGACCGGCGAAGTGCTCCTCGTCCTCCCATGGTTGGAGGGGACCATGATGTCGCTACCATTCACCGCTGTGGGGTTTCCCCCCCTTTCCCTCCTCCTCCTCCGAGGATATCCAATCGAAGGCTTCGTCCTTATCCTCATCGCCTTAGTTGTCCGAGCTCGAGGAATCGTTCGACACGACAACGACAGGGAGTTGCTGGAATGAGTAGGTGAACCGGTGAATCATGAGCAACCTCACCATGGCGAATTCGGGTCCGATTTCAGCATCATTTGGGAAAAAATGGGCGACAGCTAGAAATAGTTTGAGTTTATGGGGGTGCCGATGAGAATTTTATAGTGTCAGGAGGTAAAGCGGCAACATGCCGGACGGGGATCCACTTATTCGAGGGAGTGGAGATAAAGTGGTGAGCAATAATTTTGGAATGCCCTCCAGCTAAGTCTGAAGCGGTACGCAGTAAATGATATATTCATTTTGCATCGTGTTTTTTTACTGTTATTTTTATTGTCTTAATGTTATATTTCACTTTTGGATACAATCATAATGTCATTTCTCTGTTAAACTGCAAGTTACATCACAAGAGGGAGATTGCCGGCAGCTAAGAATTCTCACGGGCTCGATATGGAGCGGGCCAGTATGGATGTGTGATGCTTGTTTGAGTGCCATTTTGGCTCAAAATCGCAATATTAAGGTCGGGCCAATATGATCATCTCTTCAAGAGAGAAAGTTTGTCTAATTCTACGAATCTTTACAAGACCATACCCTACTCGAATCAGTATCTTGCAATATTCCGATAAGATCACAGAATACTAGGGCATCAATTTTTGATCACCTTGGCCAAGTTTGGAAAATGAAATTTTAACAGAGATAGACAAGCAGATAAAAGCCCATATATGGCAGTAATAAACAGTCAACTGATTATTTGAGTTAATTAACTGCAACTCTATTCACATACACAGAACATCAGTTCCTTTGGGAAAATTCCAGTCCTGTTAATCGGTAGTATAACCTAAACACACACTGCTCCGGTAAAAACCCAGCTCACAGATGAGGGCTATGGGTTTTGAACGGCAGGACGCAAGAGTAAGTGACATACTTTACACTGTCAACAAGGACTACAACAAATATACGCGACAATGACTTCGAAGAGATCCTTCCATCAGCATCCACTCTAGGGTCAGCCAGGACAGAGACCACCACCGATGAAGCCGGTTTGTTTCCAGCAAAGCTCTCGTTCTTGGGGTGCGCTTTGAGGTGATCGGTGTGGTTGGACGTTGAACCTTTTAGGGGAATGGCCATGGAATGTAAAATCCTTCTGTTCTTGACCTTATGTGACTGACTGGAGGGGAGGTTCTCCGTGGAGTTATGTGATGCATTGTGCATACCACTGGAGTAGACAGGAACAATGGTGATCGGCGATATATCAAACTGGAACACTTCGGTGCACATTCCGGAGCTCAACATAGGACCTGAAAAACAATGGGAAGGAATAACTTTCAGCAAATGAAGAAAGAAACTACTTGCAGTAACAGTGTACAATTGAATTCAACCGTTCAAAAGCAACTGAGATAGCACACACTTCTTCCTACAGGATCAAATCCCTAACGTCAAGCTACAATTCAATTTTCCACAAATATATGTATAGCTGTACAATGGGAACTGAGATGTCACATCACATTGCCACTCAATTCTGTGTCACAACTACATACACAGAACCGGCAGAACTTCAGCAAGCTAACAAAAAGCATGCTACTGGTAAAGTCAGTTACATGCTCTATCAAGCCCAGCTGATCATTTTACACTGGGTTTCATCAGACTACTATCTCTAGAGCTTTCATCAATGTAGTTCTTAGGGATGAGTTAAATTTATAATGCCGCAACAGTCCACAAACCACCAACGCTGTATGTTAAAAGCCACAATCGGAAGCAATAACTATCAGCAAATAAAGGAACAGACTAGTTGCAGTAACTAACTGCGGTTAATTAGATAGAGCATGTAATTGACCGTACAAGTAGTAGCATGTTTTCCCTTAAATTCTGTCGTTTCTGTGTATTTAATTGTCCAAATTGGGTGGCATACATTTCTAAATTGTGATGTGCTACCTCAGTTGCAATTGTACAGTTATATGCATATATTTCTAGAAAATCGACTTGTAGCTTGACAATAGGGATTTATTCCTGTAGGGAAAATAGGCCATATCTCAGTCACCTTTGTTCAAATGAATTGAATTAAACCTGTGTCTATCATGTTCAACTGGCATTTTACATTGGGTTAGTCAAATTACTTCAAGAGCAATGAAGTTCCTACCGACATGCTAAATTTATATATGCTGCATCAGTCGACAAGTAATATTATATGTTAAACATGCATACCGATACTGCATACATGCATGAGCACATGTTGTATAAGTATGCCGCATTAGCATTTGTTGCAGCTGCACAAGGCAATAATACACCAAACATAAACTCTTGGAATGTGTTCATTGATCAAGTGACATAACCATATAAGTCCATGATTGCCTCCCTGTGCATACTTCACATGGTAGCCATTTTTCAAGTTGTCTACCGAGAGGCTAAGTTACTTGCAAAAATCAAAACATTATCTATTAGGAAGTTGCATCAAATAGTGACTGCTATATTCGTATCAAGGTCACAGTATGATAACAAATATAAAACTGACATGGCACACACACATAAGTAATTTGTTTTTCAAATCTAAAGTAGTATGCAACTTTTTGTAGCATCCTTACCTGACATTGCTTCACTAAACCATTGTGGCAGTAATTCATCATCGTCTCTGTATATGCTTCCATCTCCAGGAGGTAAAGCCATCAGTTTATTTTTTATTGCTTTAGCAGATTCCATGACTTCTCCAGAATTCAACTGAGCAACATGGCCAGGAATTGCCAAACTAGTATCTTCTTGCCCTTGGTTACATGAAGTCTTCCCATCAGAGTGACACATGCGCGAAGAAGCTTTCTCACTCGCAACAACAGACTGGATAACCAAATTTCCATTGATCTTGACATGCTTCCCATTCCTTGGAATATACAACAACGCGGGGAGCGTCTCACTTGAATTATGTGGCAACTTTGAATCAGCACCTTCCGAGACACCATCTCGAGGCCCATCAACAGCCAGAACCCTCCCATGACGTGATTGTGATGGACCAAGCACAATTCCTTCTCGAGTATCAACTGCTCCATACATCCGATTTACTGCAGGAACCAAACACCCGCAGAGCATCATCAGGAACAGCAACCCAAGGAGACTAACACTAGCAACCTTCTTGGTCTTCCTAGACTTCTTGGCCGGTGGCTCTGCGGCAGCCGACGCAGGCTGCTTGGTTTTCAGCCGAGGTATCGGCATGAGCGGCACTTGGGAGCCGCGCGCTCCCATTGCATAAGCAGGGTGCATCCATGGCGGTGGCAAAGGGTACAATCCCGGGTACATCGGCAGCGGTGGGGGGACGCCTGCACCGGCACCAGCCAGCTGCTGCTTGAGAGCGGCGTTCTCGGCAGTGACGCAGGAGATCCTGGTGGAGAGGTCGGCTATGGTGGCCTGCATGGCCTTGACCTTGCCCTCCAGCTCCTCGACGTACTGCTTCTTCCTCTGACGCGACAGGTGCGCGCTCTCCCTGTTCCGCACCAGCCGCGCGCGCCGCTTGGCGTCCTCACCCTCTCCTCCATCCCCAGCCTTGTCGCTCGCGCTCCTCGAAGACGTCTCCGAGGACTCGTCGTTCTTCAGGCCGCCGTCCGCTCCGCCACCGGAGCCGGAGGAGGAGTCCCCTGCCCCGCCCGGCGACCCGGCCGAGGACGAAGACGTGGCGAGCGGCGGCGGGGGCGACGGGAGCTGCACGTCGTCGGTGGGGAGGAGGTCAAGGTCGAGGTCGAAGTCGAAGTCGATGTCCAGATCGTCGAGATCGAAGCCGTCCAGGGCGAAGGCGTCGTCGTCCCCGACGGGGCCGTGCGGGAACTCCGGCAGGTCGTCGGGGAAGGGCAGGTCCGCGAAGGGGGACGCCTCCGCGATGGCCATGGCGCGAGATCCGGTCACGGCGAGCGCATGCGCGACGGCGGGGCGGCCGGTCGGGGTCCTGGATCTCGCGCGGCGCGGTTGCCGTAGCGTGCAGGGTTTGCAATGTGGGAAGGGAAGGGAAAGGAAAGGCAGGAACTGGAGCTGGGGGATTCGGTCCGAGTCGCTGGTCGCCTCTTTGGCGTCGTCGAGACGAACCGGACCCGCCGTGCGCGGCCGCGTGGGGGCGGTGGGGCCAAAGTCAGACGCGAGACGCGTCTGGAACGTTCTCCGGGCCGCCCAAGGGCCTTGATGGGCCGGGAGGAGCATGGTGGGCTTACAATGGCCTGGGTTTGCGGCGGGCTGGAATTGCTACTACATTCGAGAGGGAGGCCCAGGTGAAGCGGCGACCGGGCAGAGGGGGAATGGCGACGACACTCGCGGGCCGCCGCCTGCTCCTCCTGCGGCGATGGGCGGCCGGGCGGCGGCTGCTCGGCACGGCGGCGGAGGCGTCTCCGGGACCGGGCGGGGAGGAGGCGGGGGGCGAGGCGATCTACGTGAGGAAGCCCTCGTCCTCGTCGACGCGGGACGAGACCTCGGTGTCCATGCCCATGTCGTTCATGACGGGGTCCGTGGTGGGGAAGCGGTTCTACCGCGACGCCACCGTGCGCCGCGCCGACGACGGGAACGGGTGGACGGTCATGCTGGACTACCGCACCCTCAAGACGCCGGCGAAGCGCCCGCTCAAGCTGCACTCGCGCACGCTCGCCATGGGCGTCGCCGCCGAGTGGGAGTACCAGGTCCGGATGCCTCTGCTTCTCCTTCCTGTTCTGTTGTTTGGGTGACCTCGATTGTGATATTGTACTTCAGTCTGAGAGCAGTATACTGCGGTTTGGATGGAAATGGTATGCTTGCGGTTAGTTTGACCCTGATATCGTAGATTTAGCTTATCCAGAACAGTAGTGAATTATGAGAGGATTTCCTGACCATTTCATTCTATTGTACAGTCCATTTGAAATGTATTGAATCTAGGTTTTCATCAAAGTACTAGTTAGTGCCGCTGATGACTTGAATCACACGACTGAATTGCTTTTAATGTTCTCTGTTTCTTCGCCCTTTATTGTGTCATGAGCAGTTCTTCTAAATGACCAGAATGGCCGTTCGGCCATAAGTAGAATGAAATAACTAAACAGTATCCAAAATGCATCAGAATAGATCTATTGTGTTTATGCATAACGGGTAGTTCATTGCCTTCTGTGGAGAATAGAGCATTTTCACTTCTGATCTCTAGAGAGGCAAGATTGGCTGATAATGAAAATAAAGCAAAACTCAATATGGAAGATGAAATCACACAATATCAGTCCCTGTGATGTAGTCTGTTGGTGTAGGTTAATTGCATTTATGCAGAATCCACAGTACACTGCCTTCTCCCTTCTGTGGAGTATAGAGCACGTTTTAGAGTTGAATTTTCGCTTCTGGTCTGTGCAGAGGCAAGAGAGCTTGAAAATGAACACTACCACCGTCAGTACCTCTGATGAAATTAAAGCAAGACTTGATATGGCCGATGTACTCAGTGTGTCATCTCTTATACAGATCCATAAATTGTATTCATATGCTGAATTTAAGGATACTAGTAGTTCGATAGTACTTCTCTTAGTTGTGTAAATATATGTTTTGCATGACTAAGTTGCTGCTTTCAAATGTTCCCCACTGTAACTTATAACTTACAAGTTGTGAGAGTTGTTACAAGCAACACCAACTTACTTTTTTTGGTCTGCTGCCCATCTGCCATCATGTAGGAATGCATGATTATATCTGAATTAACTTCTTGCAAAAAAAGTTTGCTTCCTATATTTCATTCCCTAGCTTCTCGATGCTGGTACTGAAAGTTCCTTATTGTCATAGGAACAAGATGGTATCCGGCCTTTTACTATGCCTCTTATGAAGCTTGCTTGTACTGCACTGGAGAGAGTTCCATTGACACGAACGAAAATAATTGCCAATTTGATGCAAAAATTCCATCAAGATTTGGTATTTTGTCGCTCACCTGCCGATGATGAACTTACCAAAGGAGTCTATGGTAAGGTGCCCAATTTTGTTCTCATGTGTTGGTGCAGTTATTGTGCTCCAATAGTGATGAACTGGTTTTAGGCTACTTAGATCCATGCAATTAAATTGCAGATGCTCTGTATCATTGGCCCCTCAATGTGATTTCTCATGCATACCTTTGTGTGCAGAAAAACAGAAGGAGAAAATTGACCCAATACTGGACTGGGTCAAGACTGAGTTTGGGTTCAAGCCTGTTGTGTACACAAGTTTTTTAGGAGGGAAGCAAGATGAGCGGCTAGTTAAGGCTGTAGAAACCGTTCTGAAGGATGCAAATGATTGTGAGCTGGCATCTATTGATGCTATGGCCGCAGCAGCCCATTCCTTGGTAATCCCTCTCGCAATATTTAGAGGAAGGTTGGGAGTTGATGAATCCATTGAGCTGATCAGACTTGAAGAAGATCACCAGGTGTGATATTGCAACCATTTCATTTGTTTACTTTGACCCCTTGTTTTTCTCTTTCCCCCTCCCTTTTTGTCTTATGGTCTTTATTCTTCATTAACCCCAGGTCGATCGATGGGGCCTGGTTGAAGGAGGCCATGATGTTGATATTGCTGATCTTAAAGTCCAGATGTCATCGGCTGTTGTGTTCCTTCAACTTTCATGGCTGAAGTAAAACATTTCTATCGATAATCTAGGGAATGGTTTCTCCTTTTTTGTTGTTTGTTTTTTGTGATTGTATCATGAAGAGCTGTGGAATAATAATTAGCCATAGATGGTTAAGAAAAAACAAAGTAATTTTACTCAACCGCTGCTAGCGTTGAACTTTTGCTTAAATGGAGCTCAGTATATTATGTTAGTAAGGGTGTATGAAAACCCCAAATCCTTCTGTATTACTGCGATCTCTGGTTGTGTAGGTAAAAGTGCTATCAATAGCATGCATTTTTTGGGGGGGTGATGAAGAGTGCAGTAGGAGAAATTTTGTGGGAAATATATTTTGCAATCAGTGGAAATGATGCTGTTTGTCCACTGTTGCATTGCCCAACAGCACGACTTTTTGGCCCATGCTGTATCAAATAATTGACAATTTATATGAATGTAAAACACCATAGCAGATTCCATCTTCCAGTTTATTATATAAGATGCAGTAATAAATTGTTGATGTGAACTGGAAACTGAAATGAGTGTGAAGTCTAGATATACCGCCATACGATATACTCCCTCCGTTCCAAAATAAATGACCCAACTTTGTACTAAAATTAGTATAATGTTGAGTCATCTATTTTGAAACAGAGGAAGTACTGGGTAACTAGGCGTTGTCTCTTTCGGGCTACCTTTGATTCATAAGATGGGAACAGGAAATTTGTAAGAGATGAGATGACATTTATTTCATATCCTATGAATATGAATAGGAAAGGAGGAACATGTAAGGAGATGTCGTTTGGTTCACATGCTAAGATTTTGTAATTGAATTTAGGCTGATGTGTTTTCCTTCGAAATGTGAAGGATCGGATCCTACATGGAATAGAAATCCGTTTATATATAGACTAAAAGATTTGGGACCCTGATAAGTACCACATGTGTGGCACAAACACACCGAACGTTTTTTATGACAATTTTAGTTTTTTTGTTTTGTTTTTTCCTTTCAGATGACAACTTTAGTTGTGAAAAACATCAAAGTGGGAGTGCTTTATACCACACATGTGACACTCATCATTCCGGAAGGTTTTAAAGTTTTTTTTAATGAAAATCCCATCCATAAAATTCCTTCAAACCAAAGGCTAGCCTGTTGCGGGTGGTCGACATCTCGTCTAACAACCTTCCTACCAACACCGATAGCCGGTGCAACAGCCAACAAATGGCTGCCCAATTTCGTCCTGTCCATGGCGCTTTGGAAATCACTTCTTTGTGGCGCTGCTGGATGTTGGAAATATGAGCAATTTACCAAACGATTTTATTAACAGAAATAGTAGATAAAGCATAACTAATATAACAGTGATAAAGCAAGTCATGAGATTTGACAAAGAGAAGGTAAACAACATCTGCATATATAATCTAGAACCGATCATCTCTAGAGCAGATAGTAGATCAAGATGCATAAGAGATAAGGTAAACATCGTCTGCATATATGAGTTTGAGCTAAACACATCTAGAACAGACACTAGATGAAGTTGCTTATACGACATAGAACCTAACATACGTAGGACAGAAACTAGACCCAAGAACTGTAGTAGGACTTCTAACAGGAAGGAGAAGAACACGTACGGCACAACAGCAGCAGAAGCGCTGGACTTGGGGTCGGTGTCCTCGCCTGCCATGTCGTCGAGGAGATCGTGGACGTCGGGGAAGTAGTCGTCGGCGACCGGATCGTCCGTGATGAAGCAACCAGTAGTCGCGCAGAGCGCTCCCCAAAAACATTATCACCCTTCTCCCGTACAGGACTCAAAGAGTGCGGTTTCGGAGGCCTACTGTCCCGACTCGCGGTGCACGCTGCAAGCCGGGATGAGGAAGACAGCGGTAGCTCAGGGAATGGAACCGGTGGCGAGAGGAAGGAGAAGTTCTGGTGCGTCTCTCTGAGAGGAGCGACCTCCCTTTTATAGGCGCAAGAGAAGGAGGCGAACAGGCTGCGGCGGGAGGTGAAGCAATGGAGGGAGACGAAATGAACAGGCAGCACGCGAAGAGGTGCGCGCCGTTCGTTCGTATTCACGCTCCACTACAGCAAAACGTTTCAGCTCCCGTGTGACCGTTCGTATACCCGTCGTGCGTGGCAAAAATTTAGACATCGGCTCATTCCCGCAACCCGCGGTGCGTCGTGACGAGGCGTGGCGTGGCGAGGCGGGCGGCGGAGGAGGAGCGCGCGTGGATGTCCCTCTTGTTCTCATGCTCATACAAGTGGGGAAAGAACCTCCCTTATAAGGAGGTCCAATTCCTACTCAACTAGCAATGTGGGACTAAACTTTAGTAGTATCCCTTGCCTTGCACAAATGGGCTAAGTGGGCCTCTAGGATTTATTAGGAATTTCTGAAATAGTTATTGGGCTAGGCCCAAAATGGACAAAATTCCAGCAATCCCCCACCAGATCCCAGAGGCACACAAAATTTGCCTTTGGTTCCAAAACACTGTTTATATACCGGTACTGCAGTGGAGACTGTTAAGTTGAACTTCCACCTAGAACTCTATGCTACACTAGTAAGCAACTTGAACAGTGGACTGGGCCTTGAACTGCAAGTTTTCTGCGAATCTAGCTTCACATAAAGCCTTGACCGATACGTGGCTACCGTGGGTCTTCCCCGCGGGTGAAGCTTATGCGTCATACTCCGAGACCTTTCATGAGTTTACTAGAGAGAACCCTACTCTCATAGATTGCGACGTTTAACAATCAGACTCATATAGGTGTGTTCTTCAAAAGATGTTCTGCAGGATAACATCTCTGCTTAAATAAGCCACTTAGAACACATTAAGATATACATCAACCTGCTGTAAGGGCACATTTATCCTTAAGTGTTTTGGTGATTGATGGCAATACTCGTGCGGACTAATCGTGTGCCTTGTGACCCACAAATACTTCTTCATCAGGCACAAGACGATTCGGTGCCTCTCGGAGCTAGTGAAGCCGGCGTTGTTCTACGTTTCTCTTTGGTGGAGTTGAGTCGTAGGAGAGCCGTACTATTAAGAGGGGGTCCGCGTCGGAAAGGTAGGGTGGAATCACACGTACACTTGCCCCTCCTTCCCTTGCACCTTGGAGCTACCCATCGTTATCATGGTTGTGCGAAAAACTGTCGACTACTGCTGTACATGCGGTAGTACCGCGGCAGGCCACGGTAGTACCGCCCCTCGGGCGCGGTAGTACCGCGGTACCTTGGCCTAGTGCCGCTCCAGCGCGGTAGTAGGGGCGGATGTAATTTTTTACATCCGTGCCCCTCACGGTAGTACCGCTCCGTTGGCGCGGTAGTACCGCCGCACTCTGGCCTAGTGCCGCTCCGGTGTGGTAGTAGGGGCGGATGTAATTTTTTACATCCGCGGCACCCACGGTAGTACCGCTCGCCCCGCGCGGTAGTACCGCGGGGCCCACGGTAGTACCGCTCCCTTGGAGTTGTAGTACCGTGGCCCTTCCGCCTAGTACCGCTGCGTCGCGGTAGTAGGCGCGGATGTAATTTTTTACATCCGTGCCTACCACGGTAGTACTGCGCCTTGTGGGCGGTAGTACCGCGTCGGGTTTTTGTACCACCCTAGTTTCTGCGGAAGTAGGCACGGATGAAATTTATTTCGTCCGCGCCCTTCCCAGGCCGTGACCCTCCTGCCTTGCGGTAGTACCGCAAGGAGAGCGGTAGTACCGCGCCAGCAGTAGTACCGCTCCTAGCTCAGGCTTGGTCCGGCCTGTGGAGCTGCCACGGTAGTACCGTGGTCTCACACGGTAGTACCGCTTGTTGTCGCGGTAATACCGCTCCCCTGGAGCGGTAGTACCGTGAGTTGCGGGCAGAACTAGTGGATAACGGTTGGATCTTTTCCCCCGACTATATAAGGGATGTCTTCTACCTCTAGTTGACTACCTCTTCCACCTCTAAGCTCCATTGTTGCTCCAAGCTCCATTTTCGCTCGATCTCTCTTCCTAGCCAATCAAACTTGTTGATTTGCTCGGGATTGGGTGACAAGGGCCCGATCTACACTTCCACCAAAGGATATTTGATTCCCCCACTTATCCCTTGCGGATCTTGTTACTCTTGGGTGTTGAGCACCCTAGACGGTTGAGGTCACCTCGAAGCCATACTCCATTGTGGTGAAGCTTCATGGTGGTGTTGTTGTTGGGAGCCTCCAATTATTGTGGAGATTGCCCCAACCTTGCTTGTAAAGGTTCGGTCGCCGCCTTCAAGGGCACCAATAGTGGAATCACGGCATCTCGCATCGTGTGAGGGCGTGAGGAGAATACGGTGGCCCTAGTGGCTTCTTGGGGAGCATTGTGCCTCTACACCGCTCTAACGGAGACGTACTTCCCTTTAAAAGGAAGGAACTCCGGTAACACATCCTCGTCTTCACCGTCTCCACTCTTGGTTATTTCGTGCCTTTACTTTTGCAAGCTTACTTATTGTTACCTCTCTTGCTTGCTTGTGTGCTAGTTGTTATTGCATCATATAGGTTGCTCACTTAGTTGCATATCTAGACAACCTATTTGTTGCGAAGTTTAATTTGGTAAAGAAAAGCTTAAAAATTGTTAGTTGCCTATTCACCCCCCCTCTAGTCAACCATATCGTTCCTTTCAATTGGTATCAGAGCCTCGTCTCTTTATTAAGGACTTCACCGTCCGAAGAGTATGGTTGACACCCACGATGGTGTGGAGGAACACTCCGGTGTGAATCCTATCTCATCTTCGGCCGAAGGGGGAACCTCGGTCTCTCGTGAGGAGTTCAATGTGGCTTTGGACACATTGAAAACCTCCATGACGGCCGAGGTTAAAAGCATGTTTAATGATTTCTTAGAGGGACTTAAACTATCTACCGCACCTATGAAAGTGGGTGATCCCACTAACAAGGTGACGGATGCTTTCTCCGATAAGGGGGAAGCTAACAATGAAAAGAGTCCTTCTACTAGTGGTAGAAATGGCACCGGCATCTTTGCCCATGTGGAACCCCCGGTCTATGGAGGGCCTATCCCCTCCACTCATTTGAATCATGCTGGTCC